AGAGCAACGGGCAATAGAACGAGACAGCATGAGGCTTTTCGTTTTCGATGCGTTCACACTCATGCCGGTCACGACGCGCTTAGCTGCGAATCTTTCCAGGGAGCATTGTAGATCAATTTCAGAAGATGCCAATAAAACAAGGTCGTTTGCAAACAGCAGCCTTCTCATCTTCACATCTCTTACACTGATACACTCATCGCCTTGGCTGTTCCTGACTATTCAATTCATTTACAACAGAAACAGGAGAACGGACAGGACGTAGCTTTGACAGAGACCAGTATTAACGTTGAAAAGCGTAGACTTAACGCCATTTACTCTGACGCAGTACTGCTATCACAATACAGCGATTGGATCATCTGTAACAGCTGGCCATTTTCCCGTATGGTTGCAGAAATGACCACAAACTGTTGCGCGAGATCCGGTCATAGTCTTTTTCTAGGTCAACAAAACACTTATACATCGGACGTGCGTACTCGCACGATTTCTCAACAATCTGGTACAGGACAAATATATGGTTAGAGGTGTTTCGACCGAGCCGGAAACCACGCTGCTGTTCTTGTATCTTGGAGTCAGTTGTTTTGCCGCACCTCCTTTTTAGCGCCTTTGCGTAGACTTTACCGGGAGGCTCAAAAACGGAGAGAATTGGAGCAATCCATGTGGCCCCTTCTTTGAATAGGGGTGCAACAACTGTTCTCCAGTCCGCTGGTGTTTTTCCCGTAATTTTTGCAGTTTCACAGCCACGTGTAACCCAGCACATGCCTTGTTCGCCTAATGCCTTGAGCATCTCAGGGTGGATTTCATCAATTCCAGCAGCTTTTCCATTTTTCAAGCTTTTCACAGCTTATGTAGTTTCATCTACAGAAATAGTAATATCTGTTCCCTTCTGCTCTACACTCGTCTTTCTGCGGTTGCGCGGGTTTAAGGAGTTCATCAAAGTACTCTCTCCTTCGCCGAAGAATGTCACCATCCTTGGTAAGAGGGTGTCCAGATCTGTTCTTCATGACTCAGAAACTGCCCTTCTTTTCATCTCAGAGCCGGCGGATGCTGTGCCAGCATACCTTGTTTGCCATTTGGGAATTCGACTCCAACACCTCACCGAACTTCTCCCAGGAATCAGCTTTGGCTTTTGCCATTGTTTTCGCTATCACGTTGCTTGCCTCCACATATCGCACGAGAGTAGAAGGCTCTTTGTTTCCAAGCCATTTGTTGAACGCTACCTTCTTTTTAACTGCCAGTTGTATCTCTCATGTCCACCAGGATGATCTTTTCTGACATAGTAGGCAGGCCAACCCATTTAAATACACAGCATTCAGCGACATCCTCGAGTATTTTGTTCTTAAAGAGCTGCCACTTGGTTTCCACGTCATTGATCATTACCGGGATCTGTTCAAACCGTCGCGCGATGTCGTTTGCCAATTTCGCTTTCGTGTCCACCGAAGGTAATATTTGCCACTTGATTTTCTGGTTGCTTTTACTACCAGATCTTCGTATGTTACTCGATTTCTTGCAGCGTAACGTGCCAACCACAAGGTGTTGATCGGTTGATAGCTCTGCGCCTCTATTAACACGGACATCCATTACTGAGCCTCTTAAGTTAGACGATACGATTATCAAATCGATTATCCACTTCTGTGCAAAAGCTTCCCGGTACCACTTATGCATATGCAGTCTTCCATGCTCGAGGGAGGTGTTCATGATGGACAGTCCGTTGTTTGCTCAAAACC